GAGTACTTGTCAAAGAATCAAGCAGGATCTGGAGGAAATAGATACTGCTACATCCATAGTAAACAACAGAAAGGGCCCAGCTCTCATCCTCTACTTTTACAAAATTCAGAATCTTCTACCCAGGGAATGGTGCCACCCAGAGTAGGAAAGACTTCACATTTCAATTAATGTGGTCAAAATAACACCCACCCCAGAGGCATATCTCTCAAGTAATTCTAGATTGTTTTTCAAGTTGACAGTTAAGACTGATGATCAAAGATGACCTAATCCTCAAGGACCAATGCACAACAAAAAAGATGAGTTTTGTGGTGGTTTGAATAAAAAACGACCTCCATAGGGTAATCACCAGGGAATGGAACTCTTTGGTAGGATTAGAAAGATTAGGATCTGTAGCTTTGTTGGAGGAAGCATATCACTGGAGGTGGGGTTTGAGGTTTCAAAAGCCCATGCAGGCCCAGAGTCTCTCTTTCCCTGCTGATGTATCAGGATGTAGACCTCTCAGCTACTGTTTCAGCACCATGTTCACCTGCACTTTGCTATGCTCCTGCCATGGTGATAATGCACTAACATTTGAAACTGTAAGCAAGCCCCCAATTAAATGTGTTCTTTTATAAGAATTGCCTTGGTCATGGTGATACAGAGAACAGTGACTAAGATAAGCTTCTTATTAAAAAAACATTTTTATTGATTTTATTAACTATACATTTTTCTCTGCTTTCCTCCCTTCCTCTCCCCTCCCCATCAACCCTCTCCCATGGTTCCCATGCTCCCAATTTACTCAGGAGATCTTGTCTTTTTCTACTTCCCATGCAGATTAGATCTATGTATGTCTCTCTTAGGGTCCTCACTGTTGTCTAGGTTTTCTGGAATTATGAATTGTAGGCTGTTTTGTTGCTGTTGTTGTTTTTGTTTTTTTATGCTTTATGGGTGCCACTTATGGGTGAGTACATATGATATTTGTCTTTCTGGATCTGGGTTACCTCATTCAATATGATGTTTTCCAGATTCATCACTTTGCCTGCAAATTTCAAGATGTCATTATTTTTTCTGCTGTGTAGTACTCCATTATGTAAATGTACCACATTTTCCTTATCTATTCTTTGATCGAATTCAAGACATCAATAACAGATAAATCCAGCACAGGCCATCTCATGGATTACACAGACCAAATCAGCAATGAAGGAAACTGAGCCACATTGACAATGTCAGTAAAGGGCTTTTCTCTTTTTACCTTGGGAAATGTTCACACTTGCCCTGTGCATTGGAAAAGAGAATGCAGGGCTTTTAAAATTCTAATCATCTTGATATTATTTGTTATGGTGATTATGATTGGAATTCTGTAGCAAAGTTCATTTATTGTAAAATTTGCTTCTTAACATATACTTAGTAAAATTCCTTGTTGTTGATATACAGCTCAGCTTTTATATTGGACTTGATTGTTGACTATAGATTTTTTATACATGCCCTATATCAGTTGAAGGAAGTTCTTTATTAGACCGAGCTTACTGAGAGGTTTTTCTTCATCCTAATCAAAAACAAATGTTGAGTTTTATCAAGCACATTTCTTTTTCCATTTAGTCTCAGAGTTTACAATATATGTCTACCTTCGAGTAATATAATACACTTACACAAAGTTTATTTACCTTACAGTTAAGTATTCCTAATCCACCTCTCCCATCTGTTATTTTATCATTTTGCTAAAGCCTAAAATACATCACTGCTCATTTTTCTTGAGCCTTTTATAGTAATTTAATGTAACAACTACTGAAGTGTATGCCTACCCTCATTACTATTGCTCGTTTCATTTCTTTGCACAGTGTAGTGTTCCTGGCATCCCATTACTTCTATTCAGGGAAGACAATTTAGCATTGTGTGCTATACTGGTCTACTGGCAATTAGCTCTTCCCATGGTCTGGGGATCTTTATTTTCACTTGTACTAGGAAAGATACTTCTAAGCAAGGAATTCTGGGTTGGTGTTGAGATGTTTCAGTGGATGAAAGTGTTCACTCAGCACTCCTGTAAATGCCAAACATGGTGGTGTATGCCTCTGACTCCAGCATTAAAACAGGAAGATACTGAGAGCTTACTGGCCAGCCATTCTAGACAAAGGAGTGAACTTCCACTTCAGTGAGATGCACTCTCTCAAGGCACTGAAGCAAAGAGGTATAGAAAATGGCACCTGCTGTACTGCTACGGCCTATGAATGTACATGTGCATGCGCATGTGTGCCCATGCATGTGTGTGTGTGCGTGCGTGTGTGTGTGTGTGCATGCACACACACAAGGAGAACTTGAGATTGACAACTTTATTTATTGCTTGCCAATGCTTTAAGGATAAAACATCTTTGTTTTCTTACTTCTGTGATTGGTGATGAAATACTACTTCCTTATGTTTCTGTAATGTTTATAATGTCACATTTTTCTTGGAATGACTTCTAATTTTCTGTTATTTCTTCTCTATCTCTCTTCATCTTTCTCTCTCTATCTCTGTGTGTGAGGGGGGTGTCTTTTCCTCTGAAAATCTATTCTTCTTCATGTTCTCCGAGCTTCTGGGATGTACATTTTAGCTATTTGGATACTTGTCACCCAATATTTCTTCCTATGTTTCTTTTTCCTGATTTTTCTTCTTTCAAGAACTCTACTATGTATATGTTTTGTTCATTTGTCCTTTGAAGATTTATTTATCTTTATTCTATGTGTATGAATGTTTCACCTGCATATATTACTGGGCCCGAGGAAGTCCCAAGGGAGTGACAGATTCCCTGTACCTGGAGTTTACAGGCATTTTTGAGCCACCATGTAGGTGTCAGAAATTTGACTAGGATCCTGTGGAAGATCAGCAAGTGCTCTTACCCTCTGACCTTTCTCTCTAGCCCCAGTATATATATTTACCATCTGACCTTGTCACACTGCTGTGGGAACTTTGTCAGCCAATAGCCTTTAAGATACCAGCCCACTTGGGCATGGCCTCTTGTACTATAAATGCAGACATAAAACTGGTGTGTTCCCTCACGTGCGCTCTCTCTCTCTGGGCTGCTGGATTCAGTTCCTGTTCTCCATTCGTACAGAGGACTGTTGATCTGTGAGTCTACCCCTAAATAAAGAACCCCTTAATATACCCAATTCTGAGCTAGTGTGGTACTAATTTATCACATTCATCTACATCACACTGATCTTCTATACTCAATCTGTGCTTTAATTCACTGGTGCACTGTTTGTTTTAGTTCACTGATACCTTCATCTACACTTTCCTAATTTGTCTTTTTTCCCCTTTGGGTACTCATTATAGAAGTTTCTAATGATCTATATTAGGTTAGTTAACTCCTTCCTTTGACTATGAGGAAGCCCCACAAGAGCCTTTCGATACTAGAGGTCCTTCAATTGCACATTTATCCCATGACCTCGGGATATGAACTTGTTCGAAAACAGCATTGTTACAAATATTGTTGGTTACAATGAAGTAAACTGGGATTTAAATCCAGATGTACTTATAAGAAGAGTTGAAGAGACAGACACACAGACAGGAACACTCAAAGCAAAAACCTCGATGTCTCAGAGGGAATAGCCAAGTGACAACAGGGGCAGAGTTAAATTTGGAAACAACCTAAATGCCCCTTGACCAAAGAATGGATGAGGAAAATGTGGCACATTTACACAATGGAGTACTACATGGCAGAAAAAAATAACATCTTGAATTTTGCAGGCAAATGGATAGAGCTAGAAAACATCATTTTGAGTGAGGTAACCCAGACACAAAAAGTCAATTATTACATATAGTCACTCATAAGTGGTTCTAAAACATAAAACAAAGAAAACCAGCCCACAAATCACAATCCCAGAGAACCCAGACAACAATGAGGACCCTAAGAGAGACATACATAGATATAATCTACATGTGAAGTAGAAAAAGACAAGATCTCTTGAGTAAATTGGGAGCATGGGGACCTTGAGAGAGGGTTGTAGGGGAGGGGAGAGGCAGGGAGAGGAGCAGAGAAAAATGTAGAGTTGAATAAAAATCAATAAAAAAAAACTTTCAAAGTCCAAAGAGCAGAAAGGATTGTGGGCAAGCATGCCAGCCTCTATGTGGACACTATGCAGACATTGAAGTGATGACCCTCTAGGTGAAAGAACACAGTATAATGTTACCTGCCAGAAGCTGCAAACGAGCCATGGAACAGATTCTTCTGCTGAGTTCTCAAGAAAGAACCCACTCTGCTATTGCTTGGATGTTGAACTACTTGCCTCCACAACTATAAACAACTAAATTCCTCTATTTCAACTAAGGAAGTTTGACATATTTTGTTACAATGCCACTAAAAAAAATTAAAATATAGTAACAGTATGAAAGGCGCCGCCCTAAACAGAGAGCTGCTGAATGCTGAATGGTGTTCTTTCTTTTAAAAAAAAATGCCTAAGGGAAAGGCCACCTTAGCTCTGGTAGAAGGAGACAAGACTATGTCTTGAGGTAGCCAGACTTGGCAGCATTGATCACACATTGCTGGCATGAAACAAGCAAGAGTAGGAAGGGTGGGAGAAACAGAGTCTTGGGCGGATGTTCCAGGCAGCTACTGTGACCAGTAAATGAGCCACAGAATTAACTTCCAAGTAAGGTGGGCCTGACAGGGATGGGGATCAACCCCTTCAAGTTATGAAGAGGGAACTCAAGCTTGAATGGAGGTCTCTGAATGTTAGAGATGCCAAGACCACAGGATATTTGATAAGTAAAGCTTCAGCTCATAGGAAGGGGGGAGAGGTTTTGCGTGCACGTGATCTAGCTATCTGGGGCTGCTACAGCCTTGACAATGCCTACCAGGAGTCCTGGATGCTAAGCATGAAGCTGCTGGGTTCTGCAGTTACCTTGGTATGTTTTGACATTTTCCTTCTTTTCTAGTCTTTACTTGACATTCTTCTTCCATTTTGGAATGGAAATGTTTGTTTTGTGCCATTTTATGTAATAGTGGAAGTACGTAATATTTTTATGAGACTCACAGTTTGTCTTGTGTCTCAGGAATGAATCTTCACTTTGTACATGTGAGCCATGCTGGGACTGTTCCAGACCATGGGGACTTCAAGAAGGAAGAATAAAGGCACTATAAGGTGAGGAAAAAAACGAGACTTTAGAGGATGCTTTGATTTCATGTGATGGTTGATGTCTATTTGAGAAAGGTGAGACCATGACGGCTAGTCTTTATCATCAACTTGTGTGAACTTAGTCTCTGTGTAAACAGACCTCTGGGTGTGTCTGTGTGGCCATCTACAAAGAAGTGTTACAGTGACTGAAAGAGGTCCACTCTGAATGTGAGTGGCACCCTGTGGGTGGTAACCATTCCACAGAGTGGGGTCTTAGCTAGAATAAAAGTTTTAACAGGAGAAGGTAAACCAATCACCAGAATTCACCTCTCTGCTTCCTGGCTGCGGCTGCAGTATGACCAGCTAGGAAGCAAGGAGTCATGACAATGTCAGTTTCGTTTCTCTCCATCCACATCCACCTCGTGAGTACTTCTCTACTTTCATCTTATTCTCCAGTCTTTTACCTTAAGCTTTTAAGTTAGATGACTACTACCCCAACAGAAGCACTTACCTTTGTTCTATTTTTCAACCTAAAATATGCTGTTTAGTCACCTTACCAAAAGGTGATCATCGCACATCCTAGCACCTACCGAAGCACAAATTCCCAACTTCTATCAAGAGGCCAATGTCTTCCAGGTTTTTCTCCTTCCTTCATTTCACTCAAAGCACTGTTACTTCTCACCGTGAACTTAAATTCTAAATACCAAATAGAGTTTAGTCTTTTGAATCCTTCAATACACACACACACACACACACACACACTATGTTCTACAAAAGTTTGCCTTTGCCTATATCACACCTTCCTACCTACCTCTCACTCCAATTCATTTCTCTCCCCAGAGTCAGGTTGGTGTCTTTTACTATAAACTGGGTTCACTGATTATTCTAAGTTCTTCAAGGTTCTATAACATCTTGGTATTTGACATTTTTTGATGCTTGTCTCTTTTCAGATTAAATGTTTTTTGAAAACAAGAAAAAATCCATTTGAATGTTTATCATTGAAAATCCTATCATGAAAGAAGGCAACAATTCTTTAAATTTTTATTCTCCATAAAGGAAAAAAATTTCAGAAAGTGCATTAATATCTTTGGAGTGGCCAGTCAGCTCGTCAGATTAGGATCTACTCAACATGGTCTCTTAGACTCACAGGTTTTTTTTTTTTTTCACAGTGCTGGGTTTAGACCAGGTTAGCTTTTCCTACACTCTAGCTTAGGATCCCATTTCTTCTCTATAGCTCTGGTGTCTAGAGCGTTTTGAAGCTGTGCTTTGTTGGTCTTGTTATATTTGATTATTTCTCCCAATGCTTCAGGTTTGAACATTCATCCCAGTGCCATGTACCCTTGTGAGTGAATGATATTCATTTTTTTCAAAATTTACCCTGATGCTAATTTCCCCAATCTTTGCTTAACCTCTTTTGTCCTGCATACTTAATACACTAAGAACTCTGGAGTAATTTCTCCTTACTGGCCCTACTCTTCACTGCCCTGGTCTGGCTCTCTGATTCTCTGGGACAGCTACATAATTGCCATCAAACTGTCTTACCGGGTGCTGGTCTTGGCCATGATGCCTGTTCATGTCTTCTTTACAGCCAGTATGAATTACCAAATCTTCCAAACTGCCATCAAGCAAACTTTTCCTAATTTAAAATTTATGATAATTTTTAAGATCCTACGCATTTCCTAACCTCCCACAAAATGATAAATTCAGAGTATCCACAGAACCAGGGCTAGGTCAGCATGGGTGGGCAATGTGAAATAGTAATTTCCACATCTTTATTTGTTCTGGGATGACAGACAGTGTCTTTGGCAATCTGCTTGCATTCTACCTGTCCAAGCTTTGGAGGTGTAAAACTGTGGTCACTTTAACTGTCCAATTTATATGGTTGGTAACTGGACTTCCTGTGAAAGTAGTTTCTCTGGCTTATACTCTGAATGAGAGATGAATTTCTAATAGCAATCATTCTCCTGAATATTCAATTAAAATATTATGACTCTTTTTATAATTATTAACCAATACCTCCAGTATTAGCCAAATAGTGTCTTTGAAATTGATCTTTCCATGACAGGTTCTATCTTAAAGGATGTATCAAAATTTGTTTATGGTTTAATTGTAAAAGACCTATAAAGTAACAGCTTCCATGATTACCTATGTGTGAATAAACATATTCTTTCATTTATTTGCATGGTTCTTTCTTCTGAGTGCAGTCTCTAGTTGTCTGTATAACTATACTAGCTATTCCGTTTTTGCTTTTACTTAGATAGAATTATCTAAAATCAAATAACCAAAGGGTCACATGGTCTGAAAGCTTGCTTTGGTCTGCTCATTATTTCATATCTACCTGCAGATTATGCTTTCGGGGGAGGGTATGGCTCAAATTCTCTAATCACTGTTGGAAGACTAGAGATAACAGAATTCATACATGTAGATACCAGTAGCTCCAGTCACCAAATTAAAAAAAAAACATTAGATAGCATTGTCTGTGACCTTGCCAGACACCCGAGATCTCAAAGTTGTATGAAACTGTCAAGGTACTCACCACCTTTGCATTTCTCAGACAAGTGTACTCAGAAACATGTAGTAACTTGTTCAAAAGTTGGTGGCAGAATAAATATTTTTCTCACTTCTTTGGCCCAATTTATGTACCTTGTGATTTATTTAGCAACTTATTTAAAATATATTTACAGATTACTAATAGATACTCTTCCAGGGATATGAATCCTGAGCAAGAAAGGTTTAGCCTTGGACCTCATGACACATATATCTTTAGCTGAGCAGTAATGTTGTCCCATCACCAATCACAATGGGACTGTCAAAATTTAAAGTGAAATAAATGAGACTTTAAAGCACTTGAAGGCAGAGACAAGGGTCCCTCACAGATTGGTTGCTGTCTATGGACATATTAACCCTTATTCTGGGGACATTTATTCATTTATATAGAACTTTTCCTCTCTCACTTCTGATCTAACCTTGAATTAAATCCCCCTTGCCACAACACCCACCAAGTATAGAATTTATCACAATATCCTTAGTGCCTTCCCTTCAGATCATGAACGTATGAAGGACAAGGACCACCATATATTTGTCCCAAACAACCATTCAAAGCAGGCTAGGAAACATCTCCAGAGAGGGAAATGTGCTTATGTGCACAATGGGTAGTAACAGTTCATTCTCAGACATGGGTAATAATACCTAGAGACATGGTAGGAGGTGGAGAAACCTCCATCTTCCCCAGTGGAAAAGGAGGCTGTTGGTGGAGACTGCTCATTCGTTTTCCAACTGCTCAGACCCAAATAATCAAACAGAAACTATATTGATTACAACATTGTTCAGCCAATGACTCAGGCACATTTCTAGCTAGCTCTTACACCTCAAATTAACCCATTTCTAATAATATGTGTATTGTCATGAGGCTGTGGCTTACCGATAAAAGTTCCAGCAGCATCTGTCTCCTTCAGCAGCTACATGGCGTCTCTTTGACTCTGCCTACTCTCTCTCTATATCTCTTCCAACCTGGTTCTATTCTGCTAAGCCATTGGCCAAAGCAGCTTCTTTATTAACCAGTGGCAATAAAACATATTCACAGTACACAAAGGAGAATCCCACACAAGGAGGCAACTGGCAACTAGAGAGACTAGACATGTTGATACCTCTTCTACAAAGACAATCCATCATCGTGCCTGTCAGCTATTCAACTCCCAAAGTCAGTTCTATTGAGGTCAATAGTGTCTGAACCAGAGATATTCTGCACATGTGACATCATATTCATGTTGTAATCCCCTACACATGCAGGCTGGCAGAATCATGCCGTATTTATCACCCCCTGAGAGTCTTATACTAGTGTGTCCTTCAGTTTCATGTATGCTGTAGGGAAATGACCAGCTATCATAGAGGCTCACAGAGTTATGGAGGCAGAAGGCCAAATGATAGTTGCAAGGGGACTGGGAAGTGGGGAGAATGAAGAGCTGTTGTTAGGTGGGAATGTGGTTTCAGTTGCATAAGATCAATAACTCCTAGAGACCTGACAAACAGTACAGTGCGTACAGTTAGTAATATGGGACTGTGAACTTGACACTTCATTGAAGGGATCTATCTTGTGTTAAACACTGCTCTAAACTCACATACTAATGGCAAATGGAGAATTTTTATAGATCACCAACATACCCTGATTATATTATCAGTGTATGCATATGTCCACACTCAGAAGATTATAATACATTTACATGTATTCAATCATCTTACCAATAAAGCTATAAAATTACCAAAGAATCTATAATTTGTGAAGTAACATTATTCCTCCAGATTTGTAATAAATTGGTATAATTAAGCTTGCTAATAACTTAGTTAGTATAATAAAATTTTATATAAAATTAAATAAAAATTTTCAGAGAATCCCAAGCCACCAAATTTGTTTCAAATTTGGGCATACTGAAGACTAGGAATATGTTAATGTACGTAAATATGCAGTTATATATAAAATAAAGACCATCATTAATTAATATGGGATCTGTACACCATTATTAAAATTTCTGATTGTCTTTGGTAACTTGTAAGACCACACTAATATTAAGCTATACTTTGTTACATGTGATAATTAATTAATTATAGGTTGAAATGTCTATTAAATGTGACAAAGATGTTTTTTTCCTATAGGCCTAAAAAATGATCCCATTAAAAACTCAAAAGTTACTCAGAGTTACAAAGATCCTTTGAAGAAAAATACATTAAACACATCTAAGAAAATGTGACAGACCAAGATCTTTGCTCTAAATACCATCAGATTAGTTCTTTGACTACTCAAAATCTTGATTTCAAATGTGACATAAGTATGGGCAATATTATAGAATCATGATAATCTAACTAATGAAACTCAGCTCTTGTATTAAAACCTGGTGCGGTAGAGGAGAACCGTTTCCCAAACAGCTCAATGAAATGGCTAATATGCATAATCCCATCTGCTGCCACTTCAAAATATACAGAGGCTTATATTATTTTTTAACACTTATTAAGAAGAATGTAGGTTAAATGGATTGAATAAAAATCCCTAATCATATTAAAGAAAATCAATCAATTTGACCTAGTCTGGACCCCATCCTATATCATTCCCTCCACAAACCTGTCACCAGGACACTCCATCTCCAGGCAGTTTCATCTTCTGCTATTAGTAGTTCATAAAAGTGGCATGTGCTGTCTATCCATTATTCATGGTTTCCCCAGGTCATCCATGTATCCCCCATTAAGGGTCTGCAAGATAAAGGAAAATAGAAAAGGCAGACGTCTATTAGAATCAGGTATCTAACTGAGTTCAACCATGGAAACTTGCCCAACACTACTTAAATTCTGTATCTACATTCTACATTCATTGTGGATGGCACCATCAGATTAAGCACACTAGCTAGCCTGATCCCACTCACTCAGCCGGTGACCTAGAATTGCCTTTGATCAGCAGTGAATGTGGTTTGTGGAACTGACTGGTTTTTGATGCTATATATATATATATATATATATATATATATGGATTTTTTGGAGCTGGACAAACACTGGGAACGCTTACTAGCAACCACAGAGTTAGTGTATTTGATCTCCAATGCTTGACGTCAACACAAGGTTTTTAAATATCCTTGTATTTGGCTTGATTTCAGTTTAGCATTTGAGACATTTATAGGTATTGTAGTTAATCACATTGACACATATAAGGAGAGAGGGGGTTTATGAGGAGAAAACACACCATTTTCAATAACACACCAGTATAAAGAATGGCATTTGTCAATCCTGGATCCTAACAGATATCATAGGCATAAGGAAGAAGGGCGTGTTGTGGATAAGGGGGTACGCTCATGTGTGTGCATGGGTACATGGCCCTTTTCATGTTATGAGACCAGAGTCTGACACTGGGTGCCCTTCCCATGCCTCTTTGCCTTACTCCCTTAAGAAAGGGTGTCTCACTGAACCTGGGGCCAGGCTGGCAGTTAGCAAGCTCCAGAAATCCTGAGGTCTCGTTCTCTGTTACCCAACACTGAGACTAAAGTTCCATGAGTGGCCCTGCTTGACTTTTCACATGGGCATTGGGGTCTGCACTAAGGTCCTCAGTGCTTACACAACAAATGTTCTTGCCTACTGAGCCATCACTCCCCAACACAAGAGATGTTTTTGAAAGATGAAAGCTTCAGTCTCACCCAAGAGGGATGTTACAGCGGCATTGTTGCTTTTAAACTTCTGGGATTGGTTACCATAGACAGTAAATGTTGACAAGGTACATTAGCAACAGTTCAAGATAGTCTTTAAAATCCTAAAGGCTGGAAAACTCACAGACCAAACTGATTTTTATTTTCTTCACTGATAATGTAGTTTAAAGCACACATAGCAATCTATTGTATTATCAGAACAAAGGGAAGGATTGAAACGAATGGAAAAGGACTTGATATTATTCTATGAGTCAACAATCCATTAAATTCTCTAAAAGTAGAGGATTTTGTTTATGAAGCACATTAGTGGATCCATAGCACTACCCACTCTTCTTTATTTTCTTCCTCTAACTGAATAAGCAATCAAAGAATCTACTCTCATTGTAACTGATTTGAAATCAATTTGCTCATTATTGAAGAACAATGATGTCCATCTCTGATTGTAGCTGTGTGTTTTCTGAGTCAGAGGATGGAGTTTCCAGCATTGCTCAGTATCACCTGTAATGACTTTTCTGGAACCCTGAACAGAATAGGCTTCTGTGTTCACCACAGAAACAAGGTAAGGTGATTATCGCATCTAAATACAATCACAAAATGACTGCAAAGCGTGCATCAGGGAGGTGCTAGGCACTTTTCATGCCTTATTTCATTTTCCTAATAATAACCCTATGCCACAGGTGTGATGCTAACTTCACCAATTAAGGTCTTCCAATGAGCCAGAGCATCAAAACCCATGTGTTCTTGATGCCAGTCCTATTCTGTAGATAATGCAACATTATCAGAACTAAAGGAAAACACAAAAAGCATGCAAGTACCCATTTAAGCAACATCCTATTCTCTAGGTTTTCTGATTAACAACTCGCCTAATCGTTGTCACTCCATGAGGGTGGAAGTCCCATAGTTGGTGCAAAACATTCTCTTGAAGTGTTCACCCTTCTGTGAATTTTTAGGTTCCATCTGCTAGGTTTTAGATGATATTTCTGGGTCTACACTTTTAGTATTTATTCTAAGAATCTCTAGCATGCATCACCTACATTTTATTTTCATTGATAAATACATTTCTAAGTGATATAATATGCTTCTCATGCTATTAGTCTAAACTTAATGCCCTAAAGGAGTATCCTTGGGCTTAAATGTGTGTGAGGTCTGGTTTTTGAATAAACCTTTATTAGAACCTAGCCACACTGCTTAGCTTTTGCGTAATCTATGTCTGCTTTATGACTGAAGAGTCAAGTATTTGCAATAGAGGCTGTATGGCCAACACAAGCAGAAGATATTTCCCATCTGGCCCTTCACAGAAGAAGTTTGCCAACCCCTGTCCTAAAATGACTCTCTTGATAAATTTTGGCCAAAAAATGTGTGGCCCACTGATTAATTTGGAAATTTCTCTATACCTAATATCATTTTATTTACTAAGCTTCTTGGACTCAGTGAGTATATGGAAAACATGTTTTATTCATGCAAGACATAGCATTCATTTTTTAATCCCTCAGATATGCTTGTCAGATGAGTGTTCAAATAAGCTATATTATCTGCTTTTGTTACATTCTGGTTTGCCATATATGGAAAGACCAAAATTTTCTCTAGCATATGACCAAGGGAAAGCAGGTGTTCCCTATCAAATCTATATAACAAATGGAAACAATTCTAAATTATTAGTAACCCTTTTTAATTCATTTACTTTTTTAAAAGTAAGCAGCCACACAGACTTTTCCCCCCACTGTCCTATACTCTGAAAAAAAAAAAAAACTACTAGAGCCAAGTGACATTGGTGGAGGTAATGCCTTCCAATTGCTGACTATGGGGAAAGTTAACCCAACTCTTCCTTCCAAACCTATCATTATGTAAAGGAAATAGTCGCCACATGATGTCAAGCTCATTTGAACTGGAGGGATAAAAGGATACACCATCATCAAGCCAGAGCAAAGGAGATGAGTAAGGTCAAGGCAAGTGACCAGGCGATGTAGCTTAGCAGCTGAGAGCGAGCCAATGATGGAGGACAGCTTCATGCACTCAGGGAATCCCTTAAGGGCACGGGACGCTCAATGCATGTTGCACTGATGCACTCAGAAAAAAAAATAACGTTGAGCTGAAAGCTCCAAAAAGACAAGTCACGAGAAGGGTTTAAAGAAGAAAAACAAAAATATTAGCTTTACACATAGTCGCAGCATGCTGTGAATGATCTGTGTTTCCCCACTAGGGAAAATAAAATCCTAAATTCCTCACTTCGAGCTCAGTTTCCTGGAAGCGCTGAAGGTTTGACCAGGTCTAGACTACATTTTATGTGCAGACCTTTGCCAGGTCCTCTGGCAGAAGTGGCCAGGTTCCAGCCACTGCTGTTGCTTTCTCCACACTGGCTCTGTGTACTGGAGATTTCTCCATCTGGTTCAACAGGAAGTATGTACTGTTTGTGGGATGCCATTGAGCTATTTTTAAGAGCTGAGCTCCATGCAGGTATTTATGACTCTAGTCACAATTTGGGGAAACAAAGTGTTTGCCAACACAAGTACAGTGAACAGTTTCAACAGCCAGCCATATGGCCACGGGATGGAAAGGGTCCAGGTGAACAGCTGGAACAAGCCCCTTCCTGGACCCTGCAAAAGCCATCATTTCCTTTCACGGGGCCACAGCGCCAAAGCCTGACAAGTGGTAGCCATTTGCTGACAGGAGTGGGGTGTTGTACTCTTATGTGGATTAGAGGAATGGCAGAGGATCTTAAACTCCAGTTTTCACACCAAGGGTCTCATAGAGACTCTACTTTTGCTCAAATAGGTTTACCGAAAATTCTATAAAGTTTACATTAGAGTTCTTTTAAATAAAATCAAAAATAATGGGGTATAGATATGCCTTGCCTCTATAGAACAGAAATGGATTAAATTTGCTATCCAAATCAAATTTTCCGTCAAGGTTAATCAGCTCACAGCAGATAGAACTTAGCCGTGGTCTCTGTGTATTTAGCTGACAGCTCACTCTCAGTTGGCATTAACTATGTGATAGGCAATTTTATGTGCAAGTTTGACTGAGTCACGGGATGCCCAGACATGAATTAGACAGAATTGGATTAATGTGATTCATTAAGATGGACAACTTCAAAACATACCGGCCAAGGTCCTTGTTCTAACTCAAATGCTAGAATTCGCTGCTGAACCAGGAGGAGCTTATTAAAGAAAAGCAAGCTTTCATTCCATTTCTGTTCTCAATTGATTGAATGAAGCCCACCCACCTTGGGGAGGGTGAGTAAGTTCCCCCCCCCCATGCAATTACTTAAGTATTGAGTTCATCTGAAAACACTTTCACTGAAAATACCTGTAATAATGTTTGAACAAATAACCGGGCACCTTGTGGCTCAGAAGTAGGCACATAAAATAACCTCTTGCATAGTTATTGCCAACTGAGAATGAGTTGTGAGTTAAATCTACTGAGTCCAGGGCTCACTGTTACCCAGTGTTATCTGATTGACCCTGACAGATATTTTGTTTTGTATGGATACCAATCTATATTTATGAAAGATTATTGATGAAAAAGGAAAGATAAAAAAATCTGGAAAAAGCCATATTTCTGCACTGTCAGATTTTTTAAAAAATGAACTTGTATCCTCTGTACTGTAAAGGTTATCCCATTAAACACTCTCTTCACACTCTTCTTATAGCTCAAAACACTTTGTCCTACCATCTCTAGAGAAATTTATTTATACTTCCTCATTGACATTTGTACATCAAATACTCACTGACCTTGAAAGACCACATATAATGCTCCTATCTAAACACTACTTGGCTCTTCCTTCCTTCCTTCCTTCCTTCCTTCCTTCCTTCCTTCCTTCCTTCCTTCCTTCCTTCCTTCCTCCCTTCCTTCTACATGCATTTTTGATTTTAAAACTTGTCTGTAAGTAGCTTGGGGAACAAATCTAGCAGCAAACTAAGCTTGAGTCTCAACGATCTTTCCATTTGTGCTGACAACAAAAATGAAAATGGGTGTGTAGATTACCAAAGAGCGGCAGACAAAAGGAAGCACTGTTGAGAACAGTTCTAGATAGAAAAGACTCTCCACCAGCAAGCTAGA